TATGCAACACAGGGCGTGACTGGATTCTGGGCAACGCTCCCTACGATACAGGCTGACGAGTTTCAAAAGGCACGTCTCCTGTCCATGTCTGGACTGCATACCGACAAAATGACTTATATGTTGGCAGATTCTCCCATCGCTCACCCCGCGGGACATAGCCTCATCAGCTTCGCTTCTCGGTGCCCATACAGAAGGGCCCTATCTACACCCTTCCAAGAAAGGGGCACATAATAGCTCTCTTTTCCAACCCTGTGATGTCTCTCCGGCCACTGTTTACGGATCCGCACATCTTCGGTCTGCTATCAGACTCGTCACAGTCGCTCCAGAGCTGCCCGATTCCGCAAACCTCATCAAATCACTGACGTCCCAGGGTATCAGAGTCGCCATGGGCCATTCTACTGCGACCTACGAACAAGGCCTAGCCGGACTCAGTGCAGGGGCAAGCGGACTGACTCATACGTTGAATGCCATGCCGAGCTGGGCATCCAGAGTCCCAGGTCTGGCCGGGTTGGTCTCCCTGCCAGAAACAGCAAAGGTGGCACCTCCATGGTACACCATCATTGCAGATGGAGAGCATCTCCATCCCAACACAGTATCTCTACTTTACCGTTCAAGCCCCAAGCGCTCGATTGTCATCACTGACAGTATTGAGCTTGCTTCTCTCAAGGATGGAACCTACCCTGGCCACTCACAGATCCCCTTTGAACAGGTCAAGAGTGGCACACGGGCTACGATAGCCGGCACCGACACCCTGATTGGGGGGTGTATCCCACTCCAGCAAAGTATGAGAAACCTGATGGATTGGTCTGGGTGTAGCATTGCCGAAGCGGTGGGCACAGTGACTGAGAATGTGGCTGCCTTTATGGGCATAGATGGGAAAGGTGGGAGGGGCATACTGCAAGAAGGTAGAAGAGCTGATTTGACCGTGTTGAGTGAGCAAGGAGAGGTGCTGCAGACGTGGGTGGCTGGGCATAAAGTGTGGGATAGGGAAGAAGCCCTAAGTGCCCATGAACAGGATGGTGAGGCGAGGGGTTGATCTTTTCGTCGTGGGCACAGCATATTGCTTTGGCGCATGAGGGCGAAGCCGATGGAAAATAGACAGTACACGCGAGCGCTAGTACATTTGACACCTTGTAAAGTCAAAGCCTCGGCAGAAGTCTTTGACAGTTGGATGTATCGCCACATTCGAGCCGCTAATTCAGGTAAAATCCGAAGCAGTAGATACCGGACGACAGGTTTATCTCACGCGCATATTTCCAAGTCAGTGAAGATCTGGGTGCCTTGCGGGCAGGCCATACATGAAGCTGAGATGCCCTCGGCGTGCGCGTTGGTGAAGGAAGGCCGATCGGGAGCCACCTGCAGATTTTGTGCGCACGCGTCGCTTAGTCATTCGCGCTAATTTGGCGCTAACAAGTCCTTGCAAGCCCTCTTCTTTCCCTGTACCTCTGACATGGAAACTCTCGACAAGACCGAATGGGACGTGCTTATTGTAGGCACCGGCCTACAGCAGTCTCTTCTTGCTCTGTACGTGCCTTGTCTCGTAGGGCTAGGGGGTTGCCATCTGACTGACGCAGCACTTGAAGAGCTTTGTCACGCTCGGACAAGAAGATTCTCCATGTCGACGAAGATGACTTTTACGGCGGTGCCGAAGCTGCCTTTAGCTTACAGGAAGCTGAGGACTGGGCGCAGCGGTTGAAGCAAGGTAAGCATGAAAGCCATCGGTCATGTATGCTGTCGCTGACTCTCCAAAGCACCAGCAAATGCTCCCTTCTCCGATATCACAATCACTAAGCCCGAACCTAGCCCGGACAGCTCAGCTCCAAGGCTATCGATTTCACGAGCATATAATCTGTCTTTGAGCCCCCAGATAGTGTATGCTCGTTCCTCTCTTCTAGGATACCTTGTCTCGTCGAGGGTCTATCGTCAGGTTGAGTTTCTCGCTGTCGGCACCTGGTGGGTGTACTCTAGAGATGCACAGAGCGAAAATTCTGTAGCTCCGGAAACCACGCCTTCACTTGGAAGACTGTTGAAGGTGCCAAACGGTCGCGAAGATGTCTTCCAGGATAACCAGTTGGACTTCAAAGCGAAGCGCGCATTGATGAAATTCTTGCGTTTTATTGGTGATTACGAAGAGCAGACCGACGTCTGGGAAGAGTTTGGACAGCAGCCATTTGCCGTGTTTCTCAGGGAGCAATTCAAGATTCCGGCAAATTTACAGGCGCCATTGATGGCTCTTACGCTATCAACGACGCATCCGTCCCAGACGACGACGGAGACTGCACTGCCGCGAATTGCGAGGCATCTGCGGTCAATTGGGGTGTTCGGACCTGGCTTTGGGGCTGTTGTGCCGAAATGGGGCGGTTTGTCCGAAATCAGTCAGGTGTCCTGTCGAGCATGCGCGGTGGGAGGCGGAGTCTACGTGCTTGGGAAAGGCGTTGCTCCAGGCACTGAAGGTGCTGCGGAAGTTAGCGACAAGGGCACAAGACTTCGTCTGAAAGACGGCGAAGAGATTGTTGCGCAATGGGTCGTAGGAGGAAGCTCCTCAACCAGTGCCGAGGCCACGTGCTGCAGATCGATCAGCATTGTCTCGTCTTCATTACTGAGCCTGTTCCCTCCAATTGCGGAAGAGGCACCAACACCGGCGACGGCTGTGGTTGTCTTTCCCTCTGGCTCGTTACCAGTGGGTTCGGAAGCTGAAGAGGTTCCTCCCGTTCATATCTATGTGCATTCAAGCGACACGGGCGAATGTCCAGTTGGCCAGTGTAAGTGTTTTCCCCTTCCATTTTTCTCTCTATTTGCTTCTATGATGAACAAACTTTCAAATCTTATCTACATTGTCTGAATACCACTGAAGACAATACCTCTGACAAACTGACACAACGGCACTCTATCTACTAAGCCAATGGACGGATCATCATTGTTATTACGTGGCTGACTGTCAACCAGGTGTACTCTATGCCTTGGTATCTTTGGGGGGCTCAAAGGGCTTTACTTTGCTCGACCAGGCAGTTGATTCACTTCTCTCTACCATAAAGACCACAGTGGCACCAAAGGTACTTTGGTCGGCCAAGTACCAACAGCAACCATGGTCTGGGCCTGATGTTCTCCCTTGTGGATCGGAGAAGATAATTCGCTTCCCGCCACCGCCCATGGAGCTTGCTTTTGATGATGGGGTGCTTGACAATGTCAAGAGCGTGTGGGAAAAGGTCATGGGTCAAGAAAGGGGCGAGTTTTTGGTCTTCCAGGACAGGGAGACGTATACAGATGATGATTGAGGGATAGAGAAGAATGTGAGGAGAATATAACGAAGACACGGGTAGTGCATGGAACAGAGGTGAGCGAATGCAATTGTGATTGGCCGTGACGCCGTGAGGGGAAATGTTTGAGGTATTTTGATGCATTTGCTCATTCGTGAATGTATTTTTTGAGGCTCCTCAGACGCTCCATGGCCCTCTCGAGGACATCATCATTTTTGCAGACTGCAAAGCGCAACCAGTCCTCTACAATGTGGGCATTTTGGGGAGTGAAGAATTCGGTCGGGGGGATGGCGGCGACACCGACCTCCTTGATGAGGAACCAGCTGAGCTGAAAGTCCCTGGGTCGCTCTGCGACGTGTGGTGGGAATTGGTAGTCTTGGGGTAGTTTGACCTTTGACATGTTGACAAGGACAAAGTAGCCGCCCTCGGGGTCTGAGTAGGGCAGGTTGAGTTCGTCAAAGACGGCGGTGAACTTGTCCATTTTGGCCTTCATCTCCTTCTTGGAGTCGTCCCAGAAGTTGTGGGCATCGGCCTGCTCGAAGCCAACAGCCGTGGCTTCTTGCAAGGGGGAAACACTGCTGTAGCAGATGCGAGTATGGGCGGCACTGACGTACTTGATGAGATGCTCGGGGCCAATGAGCCAGCCTACTCTCCAGCCTGTGGCGTAGAAGTTCTTGCCTCCAGACCCGACGGTAAGGGTGAGTTTGGCGATTTCGGGCGAGAGGGTGGCGATGCGGGTGAAGGGGACATAGTACAGGCGGTCGTAGACCTCGTCTGAGAGGATGAGGATGTTGTGCTTGACGCACAAGTCTCCAATTGCTTGCAGCTCTGCGCGGGAAAAGACCTTGCCAATGGGATTGTGGGGAGAGTTGAGGACGATCATGCGGGTGCGCGGGGTGATGGCGGCCTCGAGCTGGCTCATGTCAATGGTCCACTCTGCTGCCGAGGTGGTCTTTGTGGCGCCCTCGCTGGGCGGGCGCATGGGGACGTAGACGACTTTTCCGCCGGGCATCTCGATGTTGCTGATGTACTGGTCGAAGAAGGGCTCGAAGACGATGACCTCGTCGCCCTGCTCGAGGAAGGCCATGAAGGCGCTGAGCATGCCCTCATTGGCACCCGTCGTGATTGTCACCTCGGTGTCTGGGTCGAGGTCGCGGCCAAAGAAGGGCGAGTATGCGCGGGCAATGGCCTTTTTGAGGCGCGGGCGGCCCTTTGTGGGCGAGTACTGGTTGCAATCGACCTGGTCGAGGGCGGCTTTGGCGGCGTCGAGGACGAAGGCGGGAGGGTTGTAGCCAAAGAAGCCCTGGCCCATATTGACAATGGGCTGGACGGGCGAGGCGGCGGCAGCTTCGTTGACAATGGACCAGACGTCCTGGCGCTGCCCCGCGACCCTGGCGGCGGGCTTGAAGGGGTCGGCGCGGCGGGGTGTGGCCGACATGGCTCTGCGCGGAGAGGGGGAGGAGCAGACGACGATGGGGGCACTGGAGGAGGAGGAGGAGGAGGTGGTGGTGGTGGTGGGACTGCGAATGCTCCGGGCGAGGGCACGACTGGCAAGTGCTGCGCGCATGGCCGTCGGTGGGTGGTGGTGGGATTGCGTGCTTGCCGTCATCATCGAGGGGCAGCCACAGAGGCGGGGCCGAGGTGCAGCCGGCGCCGCATATCGCCTGTCGCCTGTGTCGCGTCCGCCCCCCAAAACCGCCCGTCGCGTGCGCCCGTGACGAGCCAGGCGGCCGCGATCCGACCATGGTCGACTGCCCCATCTGCTCCCATGCCGTCCACGACGCCCGCATCAACCAGCACATCGACAGCGGCTGCAAGGACTTCGTCATTGACCCGGCCTCGTCCGCCCACGGCCCGTCCAAGCCTCACAACTTCTTCACCCACGCCATCCGCTCCACACCCACGCCCGCCGCCACGCCCGCAACCACAAGCACAGCATGCTCAGCCTCAGCATCACCCCCGCTGCCCACCAAGCGCTCCTTCACACAGTCGGCCGACAGGCTGCACCCCGATGGCGACGCCCAGTCCCCCTCGTCGGCCCCCAAGCGCGCCCGCAAGCTCAAGGCGCTCGAGGATGCCATGCCGCTGGCTGAGCGCATGCGCCCCACCTCGCTCGATCATGTCTACGGCCAGCAGCTCGTCGCCCCAGGAGGCGTGCTGCGTGCCATGGTAGACCAAGGCCGTCTGCCCTCCATGGTCCTCTGGGGCCGTCCCGGCACAGGCAAGACGACCATCGCACGCCTCATCGCAACCTCGTCGGGCGCCCGCTTCGTCGAGATCAACAGCACAAGCACCAAGCTCGAACAGGTCCGCTCCATCTTTGCCGAAGCCTTCACCGACCTGCAGCTGACGGGCCGCAAGACCATTGTCTTCTGCGACGAGCTGCACCGCTTCTCCCGCACCCAGCAGGACGCCTTCCTCGGCCCTGTCGAGTCCGGCACCATTACCCTCATCGCCGCCACCACCGAGAACCCGTCGTTCAAAATCATCTCCGCCCTGCTGTCCAGATGCCGCACTTTTACCCTTGACGACCTCGCAGACGACCATCTGCTCCGCATCCTCGAGCGTGCAATGGCGGCAGAGCAATGCACCTCGCCCTTGCTTGACACGCCCATGCTGCAATCCTTTGCTAGCTTCGCAGATGGCGACGCCCGAACCGCCCTTAATCTCCTCGACCTCGCCATGAACCTTGCCAAGCAGCCCGGCATGACAAAGGAAAAGATCCAGCAGAGCCTCACAAAGACGCTCGTATACGACCGCGCTGGCGACCAGCACTACGACAGCATATCTGCCCTCCACAAGTCCATTCGGGGCTCCGATGCCGACGCCGCACTCTACTACCTGGCCCGCATGCTCGAGTCTGGCGAAGACCCGCGCTACATTGCTCGCCGCCTCATCGTCGTTGCCTCGGAAGACGTAGGTTTGGCGGACAACACTATGCTGTCCCTCGCGACCGCCACATACTCTGCCTGTGAGAAGATTGGCATGCCAGAGTGCCGAATCAACCTCGCCCATACCGTGACTGCCTTGTCGCTTGCTCCAAAGTCAACGCGTGTCTATCGTGCCATGAACAACGCAATGGATGCGCTCAAGGAACCCGGCGTCGCTGCACTGCCCATACCTCATCATCTCCGCAATGCGCCAACCCGGTTGATGAAGGACCTGGGATACGGCGAGGGCTACAAGTACAACCCACACTATCTTGACGGCAAGGTAAAACAAGACTATCTGCCCGAACCCCTCAGAGGGCGCTCCTTCTTGGAAGATGCCGACCTAGGAACAAAGGTTGACCCGGATCTGATTGATGACGATGAGTTGATTCCGGAAATAGATTAAGTAGCTTCCAGTGACATCGGTTCAGTTTTGGTCTCATGTTTAGTGGAAATGCTCAGCGATACCCATTTTGCGGTTTTTGCATCTATTCTTCTTCTTCTTCTTCTTCTCCTCTACATCTTGTTCATCTCGGCCTTGGCCCCCTCTTTGGGTTTTCGATACTTTGCCTAGACAAATAACTGCATGTCAAAAACTCATGCTTTGATTGCAACCTCTGCTGCCTTGACGTGTTCCACTGACGTGCGCCCCAAACCCTCTGAGGCGTAAAAGTCCATGGGATAGAGGTTTCTCCGCTCTTTCCTTCCCGATACCCGCTGGCCTTCATCTTCGTCCAGCCACGGTGCTTCTCTGACTCCTAGTGCTACGAGTGCCTCGTACGGGCTCAGCAACGGCCTAGGAAAAGCATATCCCCAGTCGATACTGAGTCTAGGACATGCAATCTGCACCCACGCCTCCACGTCGCCCATCATAGCCAGCTTTCCAGGGAAAATCTCAGACATGAGTAGACTAATGCATTTTATATTCTGCTTGGACAGCTCCTTTTCAATCAACGTCAACGTGTGCGGGTTGCCTTGTCGGCCAAGTGAACCCAAGATGATGCCCCAAGTGCGCGCTTTCCGAGCCGTCAAGATGGCACTGCGCCGGAGACTGTACAGAGACTCATGCTCATAGACCTCGTGTGTCAGCCGTTGTGAGTATGGATCATATCGGTATGCTGGTAATTGCGGGTTGGCAATCATGGCACTTTCAAGGTGGAACCGTCCGTCACCGAGGTACAGGATTAGGTCCGGCACTTGTTGTTCCCTGCCTCTGCTGTCCAGCTCCCCTGCCTTCATGGCCATGGAAGGCGATGTGCATCCAAGGATCTCCCCTTTGGACAAGGGTGCAATCTGCGGCACAAACGGGTGGTATCCCTCTTTCCGCAGTATGGGCACAATACCGTGGATGGTCGCGTTGAACTGAATGGTTCCGACTAATGCAATTGTCTTGCCCACCGCAAAGTTGTCGGTAATCGTGTTGATCAGGTGCTGGGTATCGATGGTGATGGAGACGAAGATGTACAGCGTCGCAATCTTGGTCACAGCGACTGGTATTAGGCAGCTATGCGCATAGTGTATCAGAAGGTCGCATCCGAGCGCTCTTGCTGTGTAGTCGTCTATACAACATGCTCCATACGTGACATCGCCCATGATCAATGTGCTTGTGCCCGGACAAAAGCGCGTAAGGATGTCGGATATGGTGGTTGCAAATAGCAGCAGCCCTTCGGGAAACTGCAGGGCAATCGACTTGGCCCCCGATGTCCGAATGCGGTGTATACATTTATGGATTTCAAAGTTGTAGTTTGGTGGCAATAGCGCAATGGCATCGTTGATGTCCTTGTCGTGGACAATGTCGTCGGGTATGGCGTTTAGAGCACGAGCCGTACGTCGAGGCTGGGCCACTAATTCAACGTCAGTCTATCTACTCTGATTTGCGTGTTTGATTTTTTTTGGCTAAGATTTTGCTCAGCGCCATGTGTGTGCGGGCTCCTCACACCTTGTATCGCGCTCGAGTCCTCGATGTTGGCATTGGGATCCAATGGCTGCCCGCTCGCCTTTTCCGCCGTCTTTCTGCCCACAAAGCGTCGTTTTGGTTGCTTTGGTACAGACGGTGACTCTTCCACTATGCCTTGATCTACGTCTGGACCAAGATTGGTCGCCGCCCGGTCGTCTTCCATCTTTTTCTCACTTCTTGTGTGACTGCAAGTGCTGTGGGCGAGGCGCGAGTGTGGTGCAGGTGGGATGCTGTGGCGGGGCTGATGTTTTTGAGACCCACACACACCAAATGCTACTTGCATAGGGCTGAAGCTCACAGACGACATGTTCTGCATGACCATCACTACACGGTCGCACCACCCAATTTGAATACAAAGGTCGTCTTCTTATTGATCGTTATTATACTTTACATAAGGGTTTTGCTAGCCATAGCCCCGACACCCGATACTCATCAGATATTCACTTTGCCACCAAGCCAGAACCCGCCAATCCATAGGAGACCCCAGATGGGCTGGTAGAAAGCCCTGATCACAGCTGGCCCTGGACAGACGCCTGATAGACCCCACCCAATACCGAATGCCACAGCACCCATCAGAAACCTCTTATCAATATCCTGGACTGTTTTCGTCGGCAGCGCGAATACTTCGGCAAATGATGGCGGCTTTTTGAAGCCTTTGATCTGATTTTCAATCAGGTTGGGTAGCACTCCGAATATTATCACCAAGCCAAGGGATGGATCCCAGTGTTGCAAGGCCGGAAAAGATAGGAAGGCGGCGACTTTTGCCGGTTGTGACATCTGTGATATCTGGAGGCCAAGGGCAAACAAAAGACCAGAGAAAAACTGCGTTGTGATGCGTGCGGCCTTGGGCGGTTCACCAGCTTCCTGCTTGGTGCCATCTGAGCTGGTGGCTAGAGCAACGAGATGAGGTATCGTTCGTGCCGCCATGCCAACGGATCCTGCTAGCATCAGAAGAGATACGGCCTCTTCTGACTTTGGGTATACAGGCGTGTAGCACGGCACACCGCTTGGACATACTGAAGTGGCAAGCGTCGGGTTGGCCAGGTGGTGAGTGATCATGGCAGTGGGGAAGAACACGGCAACCGCAGTTGCAGAACGCCCGCTCAACCGAGAAAGACCACAAAGCATGTGTCCAGAAGTACAGCCGTTGGCCATCTAATCAACCATGTCAGTCTCTTGTGAAGTGTGTCGAGACAAAGACTAATCACCTTGGTCCCCCACCCGATCAATGCGCCCAATGCAGCTGTCGCCATAGCAGTCTTGGGGCTCAACTGCACCACAGGATAGACGGTCATTAGCTGTGGCGCTAGGGCTTTCAAGGGAACATAGCTAGCCGCCATGCCAGTGAAAAAGGCAATCTGCTCCTTGGTAGGCGCCGAAAGGAGCTGGCGCAGGTACCCGCTCAGTCCCAATATGTTCCCATTCTGGTAGAGAAGAGTGCTGGTTGCTTGATGGAGCAGCAACGCTCCAACAGTCGTTTCGACCGGCGTGAACATATCCTTTTCGTCTTTCGCACCCACACTTCCTTGGCTTGGCGTTCACTGTCGTTGTTTCTTGCAATCTGGAATTCGACAAGATGATCTCAGGAGAACAATGCCGAGAGGAATGCGCTACTTGTATGTACATGCTCATCTTACATCTCTAACGCTCTGCGTGCCCATCGCAATAGGCCACTGTTCTTGTAGTCGGCGACCACATTGCGCCAAATGGGGAATAAACCGGCATGTGGCTTTTGCGATAATGAACCGTCTCCTAAAGGTGGACCGGTAGCGCTCCGCAGGAGAAACTTACAAGCTGTCTAGCGTAGACCCTGAATACTATTGCAAGACGACTTGATGCCAATATGGACTTAGGCTGAGCGGCTGGTTTGCAATGGGTTGCATCGTGTAATATCTGTGTCGTGGGCGCGCATTTGCCTTACCGTGTACTACTAGGCAGCCCCCACGTCGCCGACTATCACCCGCAATCCCGCACCAAAACGACCGAGCACCGTACGCACCATAAGCGAAACAAGCTACGGCGAGCCTTGTGCACGCACCTTCGGCGTCTCGGTATCATTTCACGTTATAATGGCAACCCGAGGTAAAGCGTAGGGGTTACTGATCGGCGTGTGTCAAATAAATGCTCCACACGAAACGCCGACCTGCCATGCGCACATACAAACCACAACAACGCGTGTTGGACCATGTATTCATTGGCCAACTAACATAGTATGGGAGAGGGAGCATATTGCTGAAATGTTGGGTAGCTGGGCCCAGCCACCCATGAAGTTCATAGCTAAGTAGTACATGGTGTTGGCGTCATTATGGAGTTGCACTGTTGTGGTAGCGACACTTGTTAAGCGGCTCTTTTGGTCCTCTAAAGGCCGTAGTATGTGCCATGCCGAAGTATATCTGTATAGCGGGCATTTTTGCTCACTCTTTCATAACTATCGACTACTTAACACCAAGTCGCGTGTAGCAGGCGCCGTAACAATCCAGGGTAGGGCCATAGAGTTCATCTATGACCACAAGCTGGCCAAGACCCGCTCTCAACGAGTGAATTAGTATGCCAAGATCGTCTCGAGAAATCACGGTAAGATACTTTTTTATAACTGCTGGAATCTAAGTCCTTGTTCCTTGCTTCATGACATAATACGGGTCCATTGCAATGCGGGAAATTTATTCTTTGCATAGCACTTTTGAGAAAGTTTACCTTTAAAAGATTTCCGTATGCTTTACATGTTTTCAGCCGAGTTCAAAATAGTAGCGTTCTCCACATTCTGCATACAGAGTAGTTGTTAGAACTTGCCATTTGCATAGTACTAAAGACGTGCTTGAGGCCTCTTTGATATCTCTTTATGTGCAGATTCCTCGAAAATCTTTTCAGCATCTTCTCTCAAGCATTATTTGCAATCTGATCGGTGAACGTGACACCACCCGTCAATTCCTTGTATTTTGCAAGCCGCTCACAAACGTAAAGCTTGACTGTCTCAGCATCTAGTCTTGATCCCTGCCGCAAAACAACGTATGCGCGTGGATGCTCCTCACCCTCGGGCGGACAGCGCACTCCAATTACAGCGGCATCAATGATGTCAAGGTGGGTCAAGAGCGTTCCTTCAATCTCTGGAGGTGACACCTGAAATCCACGCACTTTGATCAATTCCTTGCACTGGGAAAGCAAAATATGATCTTATTGCAACCATAGTTCATTGTCTCATCGCAACCGTAGTTCGCTGTTCCACCGGCTTCGTCGTAACTGCATTTTAGTTAAACACTTTAGATAGCAATTTATCTACTATTTCAATATCTATTAAACTATCTATATATAGTAGGGTTACCCACTTGTAAAGGTTTATAAAGTTGATAGAGTGCGGCGCTCGCTTAAAGACCACGTTATGGAAAGTTTGATTTTATAATTCCATGCAGCCTTGATATAATTAGGAATAGGTAGCTTATAGTAACGAAGGAGAAGGTTACGGTAATTTCCATAGACCAACTATTTAGATCGCCATTCAAGTAGCAAGAGCTAATGCTGCTTTGTTTAAAGTTAAATAGTGTGTAGCCCTTATCTTAACAAATAAAATAGATCCTATCACGGGTAAGTGCAGATGTTAGAGGGATATAGAGTCTCTAGTTAGAGTTAGTGATATATTATATAACTCTAAGCGGGCGGAATAGATATTATTAAGTACTTAACCCTTAAAAGCAGGAAGGTAGATAATTGCGCAAAATTAATTAGGAACTAAGGAGGCTATACTTACATATGCTACTAGCACGCTATATTAATTAGTAAGAGTGGTTTTAAACGTTGTATAACGTTAAGTGAGTTCAATGGTAGCGAAAGCGCTAAGAAATAGAATAGAAAGATATATTATTTCTATTAAATATAGAATAGAGTTTAAAAGGTAAATAAATATATACAAGGCTAGATAAAACTATTATTATTAGAATTAATTACCTACACGTGCTCTATAGTAATTACCTAGATAGGGTAAGAGACCTAGTCTTAGAGTATAGGTTTCGTACTAGCGTTAGTTATCTCTTAACCTTTTTCCCTCTATTTACTAGATAGCGTATTAGATTAATTATCTTAGAAAAGAATAGTAGGCTATACACTAACCTACTAGATGTTATAAGTAATAAGAAGGATTCTCTCATTAACGCAGGGTAACGAGGTTAAAAGATCAACCCTATCCA